GGGACGCTCTTTCTCATGCTGCCGGGACTGGATGGAGAGCTCTGAGCTTGTCGCCAATGTGCCTCCCTGGGCTCTGTGGCAGGAATCTGCCAGGTGGCCTTTGGGCTCTCACCCATCCAGCCAGGCCTGTCCTCAGAGCCAGCGGTCACCACTGTGAGCGGGTTCAGCTGCCTCTTCTTCAAGCTGCTGGCCCGAGGCCCCGGTGGAGGAGGCGGCCAACACCACCTTGGGGCCGGTCAATACCTCCACAGCCTTCCCTCGTGGAGTGGAAGCCTCGGCAACAACGCCGTTTCTCCTTGACTCTAGTCTCCTGTTCAGCGTGGCCCAGCACATGGTGTTTGTCCTGTGATCCTGCCACACGGGGTGCCCAAACTGCCTTGGCCAGCTGGGAAATTTTACTTAATTGGGATTGAAAGTGTTTGTGGTCCGGGGAGAGGGGAACAGGATGGGAGCAGGTGGAAGGTGGAAGGAACATTTTGCCTCCAGAGATGGTCCTAGGAAGAGGACAACCCTGGGAAGTGTCATGGGGGTGGGGGTGGGGGTGAGGTATGAATTTCTGTTCTTGTCACATGGGCATCAGCTGGAAAAGAAAAGAGAATGAACATGATGGCCCTCTGATAAGAAGGCTGGGAATTCCTAGAGTCTCAGGGCTCCACCTCCATCCCTCCTCACTCCCCCTCCCCCCATGAACTCATTGCAATGCCTGAGAGTCAGTTCTTGGCTAGGTACTGAGGACTGTGCCAATTCTCCTGGTGGGGCAACCCATTGACCCAGTCCTTTTGTTTTCTATCTCAATCCTCTTCCTCCTGGGCCTGAAGACACTAGGGTCCAGGAAGATGGGCCAGACAGGAAAGAAGGGGGATGGGAGAGGGACTTAGACCTAAGGGGATGGCGGTGGTTCCTGGAGTCTGAGATGTGTTACTAGGTGGTTCAAACAAAGACCCATTTCATTTACTCCACAATTATTCCCAGGGGTGGCCTTAGGTGTAAAGGAACTTTAGGGGAGGGCAGGGGAAAAACAGGGAGGAAGTGTCTGTGGACAAATAAATTTGTAAAATCCTAAGATTAAAAATAAAAAGGTAACAGGTTTGTCTACTGCAGGACCTTTCAGTCTTTCACAGGCAAACATGCTCTGTGAAATCTCTGGGGAGGCCACAAAATATTTTCTTAGTGTTTTGTGGGAAAAGTGTCCAGAAGACACAGAAATGCTTTGTTAACGGGATAGGAAGTCCCCAGCTTGGGTTCTATTAGCTGTGAAAATTATTATGG